TCTTAAACCCTGCTGACTGCCATTGGCGATTGCCAAATAAACGGATCACCGATGTAATAAATGGAATTTTAAATTTAATACTAAACAGAAAACAATAAACTTGCGGAAAAGATGGTATACCACCAATAAAGATGCAAAGGTTTTTGTACACCATATCCTGATTTCGACAATTAATGTCTCTTCAGTGATGTTAGGAATCGAAACGGTATTTGGAAAGCCATACAATTTACCTCAATTTAGGATAGACTTGAATTTTGAGGAGTCAAAATAGGATGAACGGATCATATAAACCCGCAGGCAAATATAATTCAAGCCCAAACGAAAAATTATAAACAAGTCTAAATTGAAAAAAAAACGTTCAAACCTATGATTGCGTTGGAGAAAAACCGCAATTTTTATACATGTTGCATGCAAAACAAATATGCGGATTTCGACAATTAATGTCTCCTCAGTGATGTTAGGAATCGAAACGGTATTTGGAAAGCAATACAATTTACCTCAATTTAGGATAGACTCTTGCATTTTGAGGAGTCAAAATAGGATGAACGGATCATATAAACCCGAAGGCAAATATACTTCAAGCCCAAACGAAAAAATATAAACAAGTCTAAATTGAAAACAACGTTCAAACCTATGATTGCGTTGGATAAAAACCGCAATTTTTATACGTGTGCATGCAAAACCAATTTCTTGTTAGAAAGCCATACAATTTACCTCAATTTAGGATAGACTCTTGAATTTTGAGGAGTCAAAATAGGATGAACGGATCATATAAACCCGCAGGCAAATATAATTCAAGCCCAAACGAAAAATTATAAACAAGTCTAAATTGAAAAAAAAACCGTTCAAACCTATGATTGCGCAGGATAAAAACCGCAATTTTTATACGTGTGCATGCAAAACAAATTTCTTGTAGCACAAACAACATTTTCCAAAAGACCAAAAACGTGAAAATGTATATTTTAACAAAACGCATTTGACTAACAGGTCGAACAAAAAATGTTCTTAAACCCTGCTGACTGCCATTGGCGATTGCCAAATAAACGGATCACCAATGTCATAAATGGAATTTTAAATTTAATACTAAACAGAAAACAATAAACTTGCGGAAAAGATGGTATACCACCAATAAAGGTGCAAAGGTTTTTGTACACCATATCCGGATTTCGACAATTAATGTCTCTTCAGTGATGTTAGGAATCGAAACGGTATTTGGAAAGCCATACAATTTACCTCAATTTAGGATAGACTTGAATTTTGAGGAGTCAAAATAGGATGAACGGATCATATAAATCCGAAGGCAAATATAATTCAAGCCCAAACGAAAAAATATAAACAAGTCTAAATTGAAAACAACGTTCAAACCTATGATTGCGTTGGATAAAAACCGCAATTTTTATACATGCTGCATGCAAAACAAATATGCGGATTTCGACAATTAATGTCTCCTCAGTGATGTTAGGAATCGAAACGGTATTTGGAAAGCAATACAATTTACCTCAATTTAGGATAGATTCTTGCATTTTGAGGAGTCAAAATAGGATGAACGGACCATATTAACCCGAAGGCAAATATACTTCAAGCCCAAACGAAAAAATATAAACAAGTCTAAATTGAAAACAACGTTCAAACCTATGATTGCGTTGGATAAAAACCACAAATTTTATACGTGTGCATGCAAAACAAATTTCTTGTAAGAGGGATATAAATACAGCACAAACAACATTTTCCAAAAGACCAAAAGCGTGAAAATGTTCCTTCATCCAAGCATATCTTGGATGTGCAGGATGAAGGTCATTCTTAGAATATGAGCCTGAGGCTCGAAAGTAATGAATTAGCTTAACTTCTCTGTGAGGGGTGAAGTTAACATGTAATAACTCTGTTTAAAGAAACAAACTATAACCACCAGACCATAGATGGCCAGTGACCTTGACCCTAGTATATAAACACCTGTTCCATAATAACTTGTCATAATTTAAAGTAAGTTTGTGTCGACCAAAAAACCCATAGGAAAAGGGTGGGTCTGACTGATAATCCCTAGGGTGGGAATTAATTACTTTCGAGCCTCAGGCTCATATTCTAAGAATGACCTTCATCCTGCACATCCAAGATATGCTTGGATGAAGGAACATTCTTATTCATATTTCGCCTTTCGGTCTCAAGTAATGAATTAGCTTGTTTAAAGTGTAGACACAAACTAAAACCAAAAATCATACAAATGCAACATTTAATTGAGCATAAACAATCACAAGATCATCCAGTAATTACGGCAGAAGAAAAGTCCTTAGTGCCAGTATTATTCAATTCCCTGTAATAGAACTTATAAAATGTTTTAGCACATGTCCAGTTAGCTGTTGCCATAATGCCTTTAATAGAACATCCTGAAGCTAATGCAGCTGAAGTAGAGGCACATCTAAATGAGTGAGCCTTAAAAATGTTGATATCAATGCCTGCTAAAAGTAGAACTGTCTTTAACCATCTAGATAATGTAGAAGTTGAAACTTTACGAAAAGTTGCATAAGAAATAAACAAACTAGATGTCTTCCTGACATCTTTTGTACGCAAAACATAATTAATCATTGTCTTAACAACACAAAGTTCTGGTTTATCAAAACGCTTGAACACCACATTAGGCAGACTAAAACCAGGTCTAGTAGTTTTCAAAAGTTCCTGTATATGAAAAACTATAGTGCCTTGTCTTTGACTAAAAGACATAAAATGTAAATCCAGAGCTGATATAGATTGTGCCCTAGCAGCTGTAGTCAAGGCAACTAAAGACACAAGTTTAAAAGTCAAAGTCTTCAATGTTAAATCCTCCAATGGATATAAAGAACTTAAAAAAGTTAGCACTAAATTCACATCCCAAGTGAAAGAGTATCTCGCTCTTGGCGGATTCAGGTTAAAGCAACCTTTCAACATACGGTCAACAAAAACAAATTTAGTAACATCTACTCCAAAAAAGGATAAAGTCTGTGTCAACATAGACCGAGTAGTATTTAACACTGAATACGAAAAGTTACTGTCTTTCAAAAAATTCAAATAATCTATTACATCCTTTTCAGATGGTCGAAAGGAATTGGTTTTCCTTTGAACACACCAAATAACAAATTTTCTCCAAGAATATTGGTATTGCTTGATTGTAGAAGGTCTCCAAGATGCAATGATGACATCTGCAGATGATTCTGAAAATCCTCTATCAATAAGCGATTTCCGGATACAATACACACGGTTAAATTTAGTCTCTTCCTTAATGGATGGCATTCTCCTGTATGCGGCATCATAACTAAATCTTTGTGTTGAGGCAGTCTAACTGGCAAAGAAATTAACATTGGTATTAGCAAAGAAAACCAACTTTGTGCAGGCCAAAAAGGAATAATCAAAATAGCCTTCTCAACTCTGTCACTAATAATTTTCATTAAAATTTTCCCCAACAAAGAAAAAGGTGGGAAAATATATGGTCTAAAATCAGACCATGAAAAAGTAAAAGCATCAACAAAAGTAGCTTGTGGGTCAAAAGACCACGAAGCAAATCTAGGGATTTGAAAATTCAAACGTGAAGCAAACAAATCAATGTTTGGAACAAAGAAATGTTTACAAATTCTATCAAAGATTTCTACTTTCAATTGCCACTCTGTGGAGTCTGTAAAATTTCTAGACATATGATCAGCATCAAAATTTTCTGTTCCAGGAATATACTGAGCTGTGATAAAAATATCCCTTTTTGAACACCAAGTCCAAATCTCTGCAGCAAGCCTGTCAAGTGACAATGAGGTCATGCCTCCCATTTCATTAATATAAGCTACTGCAGTTGTATTGTCTGATCGTATACCAATATGGCATGAGTTTTTGTGACTAAAAAATGCTCTTAAAGAGAAAAATATAGCCAACAATTCTAAGTAATTAATATGAAACGAGCGTTCTGACAAGCTCCATCTACCACCAGCAAACTGTCGTTCAAATTTGGATCCCCAACCTTCTAATGAGGCATCTGTTTCAATCCAAAAATTTATTTGTATGGGTCTTATCAGTTTTCCATTTTCAGAATTTAAATTGTTAACCCACCAAAAAATTTCAATTTTTGACTCTTGTGTGATAATAATTTCAGAGTCAAAATCACCATAACAACTATTCAGTGCTTCAACTTTATTTCTCTCCATGTTTCTGTAATGTAATGGTCCCACAGATACTGCATTAAAAGCATGTACAACAAGACCAATAAATGATGCAAAGCATCTTACAGTAACACACTTCTGTTGAAGAATAATTTTCCCAAGGGAGATAATTTTGTCTATTTTCTCATCTGTCAAAAAAATCTTAAATAACTCAGTATCAATAATGAGACCAAAGAAAACAATGCGTTTTGAAGGAATAAGGACAGACTTCTTATAATTTATTCTGAAACCAAGTTCATCAAGCTTCTGCACCATTTTTTCTGTATTTACAATACAACTTTCTAAATTCTGATCCATAATAAGAGAATCATCAATGTAATAAATACATCTAATGCCATTTTTTCGAAAAAATGCATAGACAGGTTTTAAAACCTTAGTAAAAACTCTTGGTGCAGAAGCCAATCCAAAACAAAGAACCTGAAATTCATATAAATGTCCTTTCCACATGAAACGCAAATATTTCTTAAAATCATTATTAATACTAATACTAAAATAAGCATCTGTGAGATCTATGGATGTTAGATAATCATCCCTTTGAATTACATCTAAAACAAATGATAAATGTTCTTGCTTAAAATGATGATAAGCCACAAAATTGTTTAAATTTTTTAAATTGATAACAGGCCTTGAAGACCCATCTTTCTTAGGAACTAAGAAAATATTGGAAATAAACTGGTTGTCCAATGACACAACTTCTTTAATAGCTCCCTTAGCTAATAATTTTTGGACTTCTGATGAAATTATTTCAACCTTATGTAAAGGGAAATGTATCTCATTCATAAAAGATGAACCTTGTGGCACAACATCAAATTCAATTTTATAACCATTTCTTACTGTATCTAATATCCATAGATCACTTGTAATATTTTCCCATTCGGGATAATTAAGTTCTCTCACCTTAACTATTGTCGAAAATGGTTGTTCTGGTAGAACCCTCTCTGAGAGTTGTGACCTCTTTGAGATCCTCTGTTTCCTGTCGGGAAACCTCTCCCTCTGCCCCTTAGGGAGGGGAATTGCCGTCCGCCCTGTCGGCCGACAGGGCCTCTGGAGTTTAAAGACAGATATTGGTCTCTACTATAGCTGCTTGGAGCGCTATTATTGTTAGACCTGGATCCTCTACCAAGGAATCTAGGATTAGCTATTGGAATCTTAGTGTAATCACCAAGTTCCTTCATCTGCTTCATGCAATCAGCACCAAAAAGTGATGAATCCACAGGAACATCAGAATTGCAAATTGGTTTGAACTTATCATTAAGATAAGGTCTAAGAGCTGAGCGTCTCCTCTGTGTCAGAGAAAGAAAACCATGGCCTAACAAACAAATAGAATCTGACAATAGCTTTCTAGTATTATCAACATCTAATGGCTCATTCTTGCAACAATGATTAGCCAACTGAACAATGGGGGTCAACCCCTTAACAAAGTACCTCTGGGTTTCCTGCATTTTAGAATCCACAGTGTGGGCCTGTCGAGGCAGTGCAGTCCAAATCTCCTTATTCACCCTAGGAACACAAAGGTTCTCACAATTTTCAGGCCGTAAGTATCTCTCCTCTATTAACTTTATACTATCCTGATTTGATTTTACAGACATTGCAGCATTTACAGCCTTAGAAAGACTAGAAGATATTTTAGGCCCAGTCTTCTCTTCTGTATTTAATTGTGGGATTTCCCAGGCAAAATCAAAATCATATTGTTCAACCTGTTCAACAACAGGTTGAGATACTGGTACATTAATCTCACTAAGAGGAGCCCTAAAGGCATCTGAAAACCCTAATGCTGGGTCAAAAGAAGTTTCAAAATCAACTGGGGCTGGACTATCATCAGCCCTAGCACAAACTCCAGAAGGAGGTACATATACAGGATCATCTAAGTAGTCCAGATCAAAATCATGAACTGCATCTAAGTTAGCCTCTAGTGGCAAAATTGGAGAGTTAGAGGATACAGCAGTAGGGTTCTCTACAACCTCTGCTTGATTGGAAGACCGAGAAACTGTCTCACACCTAGGGGTCCTTACAGGCTCTTTCCCACATTTATTTATAAATCCTCTAAAAAGATGAGTCAAAGTGTCAATAGACTTGCCCATAGTAGATATGCCCATCTTATCCCTCAACACTGATAACTCCTCTGGAGAAAAATCCTCAACTCTAGGAGATTTAGTAGCTTTACTAGTAGCACTAGTAGACTTAGCCTTCCTTTTGACTGGTTTAGGTGCTTTGTCACTTGTAATGGCAGTGCCTTTTATAATTCTACTAGGCTTTTTAGAGGGTTTATTCAAACTACCTCTAGTTTTCCTATTTAATTCAACATTTTTAATTTCATCAGCAACATAGAGATGCTGAAAATCATAGCCATCGGCTTCATTAGTTTCAATATCATTTTCATCATCTTGCAAAAGCAATACATCTTCATTTTCAAACTCAGCCATTGTAATTTAATAATCTGTACCTGTGCAATAAAACACGTGCTAATTCTGAAGAGTACACACGACCTTCAGTTAAAAAGAAAAACACCTGTATTTATCTACCTGTTAAACAAACAGGAGTAAATTAATAAAGTAACAAATTTGCCGTACAGCGTAGGCAAAAACTTTAATGAATAAACTTGTCATACATCGTAGACAATAATTTTTTATTTTCTTTTCATCAACACTTGTCGTACATCGTAGACAAGAAATTTTTTATTTCTAATTAACATCAACACTTGTCGTACATCGTAGACAAGAAAATTTTATTTCTAAGTTACATCAACACTTGTCGTACATCGTAGACAAGATAAATGTAATTAAATTAACTTTCCAACTTACTTATCTATAGATAACAATAAATTTACTATAAAAGAATATCAGTGAAGTGCTGTTCACTTCACACCCTCTAGAAAAATAATGACAAGTTATTATGGAACAGGTGTTTATATACTAGGGTCAAGGTCACTGGCCATCTATGGTCTGGTGGTTATAGTTTGTTTCTTTAAACAGAGTTATTACATGTTAACTTCACCCCTCACAGAGAAGTTAAGCTAATTCATTACTTGAGACCGAAAGGCGAAATATGAATAAGAATGTATATTTTAACAAAACGCATTTGACTAACAGGTCGAACAACAAATGTTCTTAAACCCTGCTGACTGCCATTGGCGATTGCCAAATAAACGGATCACCGATGTAATAAATGGAATTTTAAATTTAATACTAAACAGAAAACAATAAACTTGCGGAAAAGATGGTATACCACCAATAAAGATGCAAAGGTTTTTGTACACCATATCCTGATTTCGACAATTAATGTCTCTTCAGTGATGTTAGGAATCGAAACGGTATTTGGAAAGCCATACAATTTACCTCAATTTAGGATAGACTTGAATTTTGAGGAGTCAAAATAGGATGAACGGATCATATAAACCCGCAGGCAAATATAATTCAAGCCCAAACGAAAAATTATAAACAAGTCTAAATTGAAAAAAAAACGTTCAAACCTATGATTGCGTTGGAGAAAAACCGCAATTTTTATACATGTTGCATGCAAAACAAATATGCGGATTTCGACAATTAATGTCTCCTCAGTGATGTTAGGAATCGAAACGGTATTTGGAAAGCAATACAATTTACCTCAATTTAGGATAGACTCTTGCATTTTGAGGAGTCAAAATAGGATGAACGGATCATATAAACCCGAAGGCAAATATACTTCAAGCCCAAACGAAAAAATATAAACAAGTCTAAATTGAAAACAACGTTCAAACCTATGATTGCGTTGGATAAAAACCGCAATTTTTATACGTGTGCATGCAAAACCAATTTCTTGTTAGAAAGCCATACAATTTACCTCAATTTAGGATAGACTCTTGAATTTTGAGGAGTCAAAATAGGATGAACGGATCATATAAACCCGCAGGCAAATATAATACAAGCCCAACCGAAAAAATATAAACAAGTCTAAATTAAAAACAACGTTCAAACCTATGATTGCGTTGGATAAAAACCACAAATTTTATACGTGTGCATGCAAAACAAATTTCTTGTAAGAGGGGTATATATACAGCACAAACAACATTTTCCAAAAGACCAAAAACGTGAAAAAGTATATTTTAACAAAACGCATTTGACTAACAGGTCGAACAACAAATGTTCTTAAACCCTGCTGACTGCCATTGGCGATTGCCAAATAAACGGATCACCGATGTAATAAATGGAATTTTAAATTTAATACTAAACAGAAAACAATAAACTTGCGGAAAAGATGGTATAACACCAATAAAGGTGCAAAGGTTTTTGTACACCATATCCGGATTTCGACAATTAATGTCTCTTCAGTGATGTTAGGAATCGAAACGGTATTTGGAAAGCCATACAATTTACCTCAATTTAGGATAGACTTGAATTTTGAGGAGTCAAAATAGGATGAACGAATCATATAAATCCGAAGGCAAATATAATTCAAGCCCAAACGAAAAAATATAAACAAGTCTAAATTAAAAACAACGTTCAAACCTATGATTGCGTTGGATAAAAACCGCAATTTTTATACATGTTGCATGCAAAACAAATATGCGGATTTCGACAATTAATGTCTCCTCAGTGATGCTAGGAATCGAAACGGTATTTGGAAAGCAATACAATTTACCTCAATATAGGATAGATTCTTTCATTTTGAGGAGTCAAAATAGGATGAACGGATCATATAAACCCGAAGGCAAATATACTTCAAGCCCAAACGAAAAAATATAAACAAGTCTAAATTGAAAACAACGTTCAAACCTATGATTGCGTTGGATAAAAACCACAAATTTTATACGTGTGCATGCAAAACAAATTTCTTGTAAGAGGGATATAAATACAGCACAAACAACATTTTCCAAAAGACCAAAAACGTGAAAATGTATATTTTAACAAAACGCATTTGACTAACAGGTCGAACAACAAATGTTCTTAAACCCTGCTGACTGCCATTGGCGATTGCCAAATAAACGGATCACCGATGTAATAAATGGAATTTTAAATTTAATACTAAACAGAAAACAATAAACTTGCGGAAAAGATGGTATACCACCAATAAAGGTGCAAAGGTTTTTGTACACCATATCCGGATTTCGACAATTAATGTCTCTTCAGTGATGTTAGGAATCGAAACGGTATTTGGAAAGCCATACAATTTACCTCAATTTAGGATTGACTTGAATTTTGAGGAGTCAAAATAGGATGAACGGATCATATAAACCCGCAGGCAAATATAATTCAAGCCCAAACGAAAAATTATAAACAAGTCTAAATTGAAAAAAAAAACGTTCAAACCTATGATTGCGCTGGATAAAAACCGCAATTTTTATACGTGTGCATGCAAAACAAATTTCTTGTAGCACAAACAACATTTTCCAAAAGACCAAAAACGTGAAAATGTATATTTTAACAAAACGCATTTGACTAACAGGTCGAACAAAAAATGTTCTTAAACCCTGCTGACTGCCATTGGCGATTGCCAAATAAACGGATCACCAATGTCATAAATGGAATTTTAAATTTAATACTAAACAGAAAACAATAAACTTGCGGAAAAGATGGTATACCACCAATAAAGGTGCAAAGGTTTTTGTACACCATATCCGGATTTCGACAATTAATGTCTCTTCAGTGATGTTAGGAATCGAAACGGTATTTGGAAAGCCATACAATTTACCTCAATTTAGGATAGACTTGAATTTTGAGGAGTCAAAATAGGATGAACGGATCATATAAATCCGAAGGCAAATATAATTCAAGCCCAAACGAAAAAATATAAACAAGTCTAAATTGAAAACAACGTTCAAACCTATGATTGCGTTGGATAAAAACCGCAATTTTTATACATGTTGCATGCAAAACAAATATGCGGATTTCGACAATTAATGTCTCCTCAGTGATGTTAGGAATCGAAACGGTATTTGGAAAGCAATACAATTTACCTCAATTTAGGATAGATTCTTGCATTTTGAGGAGTCAAAATAGGATGAACGGATCATATAAACCCGAAGGCAAATATACTTCAAGCCCAAACGAAAAAATATAAACAAGTCTAAATTGAAAACAACGTTCAAACCTATGATTGCGTTGGATAAAAACCGCAATTTTTATACGTGTGCATGCAAAACCAATTTCTTGTTAGAAAGCCATACAATTTACCTCAATTTAGGATAGACTCTTGAATTTTGAGGAGTCAAAATAGAATGAACGGATCATATAAACCCGAAGGCAAATATAATACAAGCCCAAACGAAAAAATATAAACAAGTCTAAATTGAAAACAACGTTCAAACCTATGATTGCGTTGGATAAAAACCACAAATTTTATACGTGTGCATGCAAAACAAATTTCTTGTAAGAGGGATATAAATACAGCACAAACAACATTTTCCAAAAGACCAAAAACGTGAAAATGTATATTTTAACAAAACGCATTTGACTAACAGGTCGAACAACAAATGTTCTTAAACCCTGCTGACTGCCATTGGCGATTGCCAAATAAACGGATCACCGATGTAATAAATGGAATTTTAAATTTAATACTAAACAGAAAACAATAAACTTGCGGAAAAGATGGTATACCACCAATAAATGTGCAAAGGTTTTTGTACACCATATCCGGATTTCGACAATTAATGTCTCTTCAGTGATGTTAGGAATCGAAACGGTATTTGGAAAGCCATACAATTTACCTCAATTTAGGATTGATTTGAATTTTGAGGAGTCAAAATAGGATGAACGGATCATATAAACCCGCAGGCAAATATAATTCAAGCCCAAACGAAAAATTATAAACAAGTCTAAATTGAAAAAAAAAACGTTCAAACCTATGATTGCGCTGGATAAAAACCGCAATTTTTATACGTGTGCATGCAAAACAAATTTCTTGTAGCACAAACAACATTTTCCAAAAGACCAAAAACGTGAAAATGTATATTTTAACAAAACGCATTTGACTAACAGGTCGAACAAAAAATGTTCTTAAACCCTGCTGACTGCCATTGGCGATTGCCAAATAAACGGATCACCAATGTCATAAATGGAATTTTAAATTTAATACTAAACAGAAAACAATAAACTTGCGGAAAAGATGGTATACCACCAATAAAGGTGCAAAGGTTTTTGTACACCATATCCGGATTTCGATAATTAATGTCTCTTCAGTGATGTTAGGAATCGAAACGGTATTTGGAAAGCCATACAATTTACCTCAATTTAGGATAGACTTGAATTTTGAGGAGTCAAAATAGGATGAACGGATCATATAAACCCGCAGGCAAATATAATTCAAGCCCAAACGAAAAATTATAAACAAGTCTTAATTGAAAAAAAAACGTTCAAACCTATGATTGCGCTGGATAAAAACCGCAATTTTTATACGTGTGCATGCAAAACAAATTTCTTGTAGCACAAACAACATTTTCCAAAAGACC